AGTTGGTGAGTGAGTGAGTTAGTGAGTGAGTGAGTTAGTGAGTGAGTTAGTGAGTGAGATAGTGAGTGAGTTGGTGAGTTAGTTAGTAAGTGAGTGAGTTAGTGAGATAGTTGGTGAGTGAGTGAGTTAGTGAGTTAGTGAGTGAGTGAGGTAGTGAGTTGCTGAGTGATTGAGTTAGTGAGTTAGTTAGTGAGTGAGATAGTGAGTGAGTTGTTGAGTTAGTTAGTAAGTGAGTGAGTTAGTGAGATAGTTGGTGAGTGAGTGAGTTAGTGAGTTGGTGAGTGAGTGAGTTAGTGAGTTAGTTGGTGAGTTAGTGAGTCGGTGAGTGAGTTGGTGAGTGATTGAGTTAGTGAGTTAGTGAGTGCGTTACTGAGTGAGTTGGTGAGTGAATTGGTGAGTTAGTTATTTAGTTAGTTGGTGAGTGAGTTGGTGAGTTAGTAAGTTAGTTGGTGAGTTTTCTGTGTTGGTGAGTGAGTGAGTTATTGAGTGATTGAGTTAGTGAGTGAGTTAGTGAGTGAGTTGGTGAGTGAGTGAGTTAATGAGTGAGTTGGTGAGTGAGTGAGTTGGTGAGTGAGTTAGTGAGTGAGTGAGTTGGTGAGTGAGTGAGTTGGTGAGTGAGTGAGTTGGTGAGTGAATTAATGACTTAGTGAGTGAGTTACTGAGTTAATGAGTGCGTGAGTTAGTTTGTGATTGAGTTGGTGAGTTGGTGAGTTAGTTGGCGAGTGAGTGAGTTAATGAGTTAGTGAGTTAGTTGGTGAGTGAGTGAGTTAGTGAGTGAGTTGGTGAGTGAGTGAGTTGGTGAGTGAGTTAGTGAGTGAGTTGGTGAGTGAGTGAGTTAGTGAGTTAGTGAGTTAGTTAGTGAGTTAGTTGGTGAGTTAGTGAGTTAGTGAGTTAGTGAGTTAGTGAGTTGTTGAGGAATTAGCGACTCTGTGTGTGGCATTCGTGAACAGATGCTGATGAGTACGATGAGGATAGTGGCGATGATGACGATGATGGTGACTACCTGCAACCCGATGACTACCTCACTACTCACCTGGAGAGTGGGACAGGAGGTAAACACCTGTGCCAGGCTAGGTGCACGCTCACTCACCCACTCACTCACCAACTCATTCACTCACTCAATCACCCACTCACTCACTCACTCAATCACCCACTCACTCACTCACTCACCCACTCACTCACTCACCCACTCACCCACTCACTCAATCACCAACTCACTCACCCACTCACTCACCAACCCACTCACCCACTCACCCACTCACTCAATCACCAACTAACTCACTCACTCAATCACCAACTCACTCACTCACCCACCACTCACTCACTCACTCACCCACTCACTCACTCACCCACTCACTCACTCACTCACCCACCCACTCACTCACTCACCCACCTACTCACTCACCCACCCACTCACTCACTCACTCACCCACTCACTCACTCACCAACTAACTCACCCACTCACTCACCCACTCACCCACTCACTCACTCACCAACTAACTCACTCACTTACTTAATCACCAATTCACTCACTCACCCACTCACTCACTCACCAACTAACTCACTCACTCAATCACCAACTCACTCAGGCACCCACCCACTCACTCACCCACCCACTCGCTCGCTCACTCACTCACTCACCAACTAACTCACTTACTCACTCACTCACCCACTCACTCACTCACCCACCCATTCACCCACTCACTCACCCAGCCACTCACTAACCCACCCACTCACCCACCCACTCACTCACTCAATCACCAACTCACTCACTCACCCACTCACTCACTCACTCACCCACTCACTCACTCACCAACTAACTCACTCACTCACACACTCACTCACTCACCCACCCACTCACTCACTCACCCACCCACTCACTCACTCACCAACTAACTCACTCACTCATTCACCCACTCACTCACTCACTCACCCACCCACTCACCCACTCACTCACCAACTAACTCACTCACTCAATCACCAACTCACTCAGGCACCCACCCACTCACTCACCCACCCACTCGCTCGCTCACTCACTCACTCACCAACTAACTCACTTACTCACTCACTCACCCACTCACTCACTCACCCACCCATTCACCCACTCACTCACCCAGCCACTCACTAACCCACCCACTCACCCACCCACTCACTCACTCAATCACCAACTCACTCACTCACCCACTCACTCACTCACTCACCCACTCACTCACTCACCAACTAACTCACTCACTCACACACTCACTCACCCACCCACTCACTCACTCACCCACCCACTCACTCACTCACTCACCAACTAACTCACTCACTCATTCACCCACTCACTCACTCACTCACCCACCCACTCACCCACTTACTCACCAACTAACTCACTCACTTACTTAATCACCCATTCACTCACTCACCTACTCACTCACTCACCAACTAACTCACTCACTCAATCACCAACTCACTCACTCACCCACCCACTCACTCACTCACCCACTCACTCACCCACCCACTCATCTACTCACTCACTCACTCACCAACTAACTCACCCACTCACTCACTCACCAACTCACCAACTCACTCACCAACTCACTCACTCACCCACTCACTCACCTACCCACTCACTCACCAACTCACCCACTCATTCACTCGCTCACCCACTCACTCACCCACCCTCTCGCTCACCCACTCACTCACCCACCAACTCACTGTGTGGTGATGGTGAGTCTATGGGTCTCTGTGTGGTGATGATGAGTCTATGGGTCTCTGTGTGGTGCTGTCTTGCAGGTGGTCTTTCACCACAACCAAAACCACAACAACAACCACCACCACCACAACTGCTGTTGGCATCATCACCATCACCATCGCCTGCCAATAAATTCACCGCCACCACCGCCACCACCAAAAGACCAGCGCTGATGCCACCAAAGCCACCACCGAAACCACCACCACAACAACCACAACAACAACAACAACCACAACAACAACAACCACAACAACACCACCACCACCAGGAGCTGGGCTACTTCAAGCGGCCTATAGCAGGCACCGCTATAGGCCCTCAGCAGAGATCTCCTCCACTGCCCTGGGCAGCAGTAGCAGCAGCAGCAGCAGCATCAACAACAACTACAACAACAACAGCAACAACAACAACAACAACCGCGAGGGGGAAAGCTCTCATGCCAGCGGCAACAACAACAACCATCACCACCACCAAAGCACCACCACGGTAGAGGTGGTGGTGGGGGTGGTGGTGGTGGTTGTGGTGGTGGTTGTGGTGGTGGTGGTGGTGGTGAGGGTGGTGGTTGTGGTGGTGGGGGTGGTGGTGGTGAAGGTGGTGGTTGTGGTGGTGGTTATGGTGGTGGTGGTGGGGGTGGTGGTGGCGGTGGTGGGGGGTGGTGGTGGTGGTGGTGGTGGGGGTGGTGGTGGTGAAGGTGGTGGTTGTGGTTATGGTGGTGGTGGTGGTGGTGAGGGTGGTGGTGGGGGTGGTGGTGGGGGTGGTGGTGAGGGTGATGTTGGAGGTGGTGGTGGTGGTGGAGGTGGTGGTGGTGGTGGTGGTGAGGGTGGTGGTAGTGGTGGTGGTGGGGGTGGTGGTGGTTATGGTGGTGGGGGTGGTGGTGGTGAAGGTGGTGGTTGTGGTGGTGGTTATGGTGGTGGTGGAGGTGGTGGTGGTGAGGGTGGTTGTGGTGGTGGTGGTGAGGGTGGTGGAGGTGGTGGTGGTGAAGGTGGTTATGGTGGTGGTGGTTATGGTGGTGGTGGTGGTGGTGGGGGTGGTGGTGGAGGTGGTGGGGGTGTTGGTGATGGTGGTGGTGGTGAAGGTGGTGGTGGTGCAGGTGGTGGTGGTGATTGGGAGTGGTGGGTGTAGTGGTTAGCGCTACGAACTCAGCGTCCCGAGTTCGATTCCCGCTCACGGCCAACTTGAACCGGTCCTGGGCCTCCCCTAGGTCGACTCAGCCTCAAATGAGTAGCTGGTGTAGCTGTGTGTGCAGTGAACATCGCTAGCACTGGGGGAGAGACAAAGACGGCCGGGCGTGGTGGTGCTGGTAGCCACCCACCCCCTCTGTGTGTGTAACCACAGTGCCGGTAGCCTTCAGACGCTGCTGCTGCTAACAGCACTTGCCCCTACAGCCCTGCTAGAGGCTACACGGGGGAGCTTTGTCTGTGTCTCAGCACTTGCCCCTACAGCCCTGCTAGAGGCTACACGGGGGAGCTTTGTCTGTGTCTCAGCACTTGCCCCTACAGCCCTGCTAGAGGCTACCTGGGGTAGCTTTGTCTGTGTCTCAGCACTTGCCCCCTACAGCCCTGCTAGAGGCTACCTGGGGGAGCTTTGTCTGTGTCTCAGCACTTGCCCCTACAGCCCAGCTAGAGGCTACCTGGGGGAGCTTTGTCTGTGTCTCAGCACTTGCCCCTACAGCCCTGCTAGAGGCTACCTGGGGTAGCTTTGTCTGTGTCTCAGCACTTGCCCCCTACAGCCCTGCTAGAGGCTACCTGGGGGAGCTTTGTCTGTGTCTCAGCACTTGCCCCTACAGCCCAGCTAGAGGCTACCTGGGGGAGCTTTGTCTGTGTCTCAGCACTTGCCCCTACAGCCCTGCTAGAGGCTACCTGGGGTAGCTTTGTCTGTGTCTCAGCACTTGCCCCCTACAGCCCTGCTAGAGGCTACCTGGGGGAGCTTTGTCTGTGTCTCAGCACTTGCCCCCTACAGCCCTGCTAGAGGCTACCTGGGGGAGCTTTGTCTGTGTCTCAGCACTTGCCCCTACAGCACTGTTAGAGGCTACCTGGGGGAGCTTTGTCTTAGGAGTTGGTGCTGATGATGATGATGCTGATGATGATAATGGTGACGATGCTGACGATGCAGATATTGATGCTGCTGCTCCTGCTGATGATGATGCTGCTGCTGATGGTGCCGATGATGCTGCTGCTGATGATGATGCTGCTGCTGCTGCTGATGGTGCTGATGATGCTGATGCTGCTGCTGATGATGCTGCTGCTGATGATGATGCTGATGATGATGATGTTGCTGATGATGATGATGCTGCTGCTGATGATGATGCTGCTGCTGCTGATGCTGATGATGCTGCTGCTGATGATGATGATGCTGATGATGCTGCTGCTGCTGATGATGATGTTGCTGATGATGATGATGCTGCTGCTGATGATGATGCTGCTGCTGCTGATGCTGATGATGCTGCTGCTGATGATGATGCTAATGCTGATGATGCTGCTGCTGATGATGATGTTGCTGCTGCTGCTGATGATGCTGCTGCTGCTGATGATGCTGATGATGCTGCTGATGATGTTGCTGATGCTGCTGCTGATGATGATGTTGCTGATGATGATGATGCTGATGATGCTGCTGCTGATGATGATGATGCTGCTGCTGCTGATGTTGCTGCTGCTGCTGATGCTGCTGATGATGATGCTGATGATGTTGCTGCTGATGATGTTGCTGATGATGATGCTGATGATGATGCTGATGATGCTGACGATGATGTTGCTGATGATGATGCTGATGATGATGCTGCTGCTGCTGATGATGCTGATGATGATGTTGATGATGCTGCTGCTGCTGCTGATGTTGCTGATGCTGCTGCTGCTGATGATGATGTTGCTGATGATGCTGCTGCTGCTGATGATGCTGATGATGATGTTGATGATGCTGCTGCTGCTGATGATGTTGCTGATGCTGCTGCTGATGATGTTGCTGCTGCTGATGATGATGCTGATGATGATGCTGCTGATGATGCTGATGATGATGTTGCTGATGATGATGATTCTCCCACATCCCATTCAGGCCGCTGTCAAGGCCGCAGCCAGAGGGTGAGAGCTTCCACAAGTTACAAATCGATAGTGACTCTGATGACTACATTCAGGTGGGTGGGTGGGTTAGTGGGTGGGTGGTGGGTGGGTTAGTGGGTGGGTGGGTGAGTGGGTGAGTGAGTGGGTGAGTGGGTGAGTGGGTGGGTGGGTGAGTGGGTGGGTGGGTGAGTGGGTGGGTGAGTGGGTGGGTGAGTGGGTGGGTGGGTGAGTGGGTGGGTGGGTGAGTGAGTGGGTGGGTGAGTGAGTGGGTGGGTGAGTGGGTGAGTGGGTGGGTGAGTGGGTGGGTGAGTGGGTGGGTGAGTGGGTGGGTGAGTGGATCAGTGAGTGAATGAGTGGGTGAGTGGGTGGGTGAGTAGGTGGGTGAGTGGGTGGGTGGGTGAGTGGGTGGGTGAGTGAGTGAGTGGGTGGGTGAGTGGGTGAGTTAGTGGGTGAGTGGGTGAGTGAGTGGGTGGGTGAGTGGGTGAGTGGGTGAGTGAGTGAGTGAGTGGGTGAGTGGGTGAGTGAGTGGGTGAGTGGGTGAGTAGGTGAGTGTGACAGTGACTGAGTGAGTGGGTGAGTGAGTGAGTGGGTGGGTGAGTGAGTGAGTGGGTGAGTGAGTGAGTGGGTGGTGAGTGGGTGAGTGAGTGAGTGGATGAGTGGGTGAGTAGGTGAGTGTGACAGTGACTGAGTGAGTGGGTGAGTGGGTGAGTGACTGAGTGAGTGAGTGGGTGGGTGAGTGAGTGAGTGGGTGAGTGGGTGGGTGAGTGGGTGAGTGAGTGGGTGAGTGGATCAGTGAGTGAGTGAGTGGGTGAGTGAATGGCTGGGTGAGTGGGTGAGTAGGTGAGTGTGAGAGTGACTGAGTGAGTGAATGAGTGAGTAGGTGTGAGTGTGTGTGTTTGTGTGTGTGTCTGTGTGACACTGGGGGAGAGACAAAGGCGGCCGGGCGTGGTGGTGCTGACCACCCACCCCCTCTGTGTGTGTAGCCACAGTGTTGGTAGCCTGCATAGACGCTGCTGCTGCTGCTATTCGCAACGAACAGCACTTGCCCCTACAGTCTGTTAGAGGTTACCTGGGGGAGCTTTGTCTGTGTGTGTAACAGCACTTGCTCCTACTGCCCTGCCAGAGGCTACCTGGGGGAGCTTTGTCTTTGTATGTAACAGCACTTTCCCCTACAGCCCCACGTGAGGCTACCTGGGGGAGCTTTGTCTTTACCTGTCCATCAGCACTTGCCCCTACAGCCCCGTGTGAGGCTACCTGGGGGAGCTTTGTCTTTACCTGATCATCAGCACTTGCCCCTACAGCCCCGTGTGAGGCTACCTGGGGGAACTTTGTCTTTACCTGTGTGTCTGCGTGTTTTTCACCAGCCAGAGGACGCGATGCCTTCAACCATCTTTCTCGACACCACATCAGGAGATGAGGCCGAATGGTGGGTGGGTGAGTGGGTGGGTGGGTGGGTGAGTGGGTGGGTGGGTGAGTGAGTGTGTGGGTGGGTGGGTGAGTGGGTGGGTGGGTGGGTGAGTGGGTGGGTGGGTGGGTGAGTGAGTGAGTGGGTGAGTGAGTGAGTGAGTGGGTGAGTGGGTGAGTGAGTGAGTGGGTGAGTGAGTGAGTGTGTGGGTGGGTGAGTGGGTGGGTGGGTGGGTGAGTGTGTGGGTGGGTGAGTGGGTGGGTGGGTGGGTGAGTGAGTGAGTGGGTGAGTGAGTGAGTGGGTGAGTGTGTGAGTACTCACCAGGTGAGCGTGTGGTGAGGCAGGAGAATGAAGAATGCTGGACTCACACATGGACTCTACTGCATCAGGAACTCCGCTAGCAGTGATCAACAGGTGACCCCTCATTCATCCACTCATTTATCCACTCATTCACTTATTCATTCACTCACTCATCCACTCATTCATCCACTCACTCACTCATTCACTCATCCACTCACTCACTCATCCACTCATTCATTCACTCACTCATCCACTCATTCACTCACTCATCCACTCATTCATTCACTCACTCATCCACTCACTCATACACTCACTCACTCATCCACTCAATCATCCAATCACTCATTCACTCACTCATCCACTCATTCATCCACTCACTCATCCATTTATTCACTCACTCATTCACTCACTCACCCACTCATCCATTCACTCACTCATCCATTCACTCATTCACTCACTCATCCACTCATCCATTCACTCATTCACCAATTCGCTCACCCACTAATTCACTCACTCATTTGCCCATTTATTCACTCACCCATTCACTCACTAAATCGCTCATTCATCAATTCACTCACTCGTCCACTCATTCACCCATTCACTCTCCCGTGTGAGGCTACCTGGGGGAGCTTTGTCTTTACCTGGCCATCAGCACTTGCCCCTACAGCCCCGTGTGAGGCTACCTGGGGGAGCTTTGTCTTTACCTGCCCATCAGCACTTGCCCCTACAGCCCCGTGTGAGGCTACCTGGGGGAGTTTTGTCTTTACCTGGCCATCAGCACTTGCCCCTAGGCCCCGTGTGAGGCTACCTGGGGGAGCTTTGTCTTTACCTGGCCAACAGCACTTGCCCCTAGGCCCCGTGTGAGGCTACCTGGGGGAGCTTTGTCTTTACATGGCCATCAGCACTTGCCCCTACAGCCCCGTCTGAGGCTACCTGGGGGAGCTTTGTCTTTACCTGGCCATCAGCACTTGCCCCTACAGCCTCGTGTGAGGCTACCTGGGGGAGCTTTGTCTTTACCTGGCCATCAGCACTTGCCCCTACAGCCCGTCTGAGGCTACCTGGGGGAGCTTTGTCTTTGCCTGGCCAACAGCACTTGCCCCTACAGCCCCGTCTGAGGCTACCTGGGGGAGCTTTGTCTTTGCCTGGCCAACAGCACTTGCCCCTAGGCCTCGTGTGAGGCTACCTGGGGGAGCTTTACCTCTATCTGTGTGATGTTGTGTCCAGGTGCTCGTCGTGTGGGATGGGGAGTGCAGAAAGTTGAGGAACTTCAAAATCTTTCGAGCGGTGAGTGGGTGAGTGAGTGAGTGGGTGAGTGGGTGGGTGAGTGGGTGGGTGGGTGAGTGGGTGAGTGAGTGGGTGAGTGGGTGGGTGAGTGAGTGGGTGAGTGGGTGGGTGAGTGAGTGGGTGGGTGAGTGGGTGGGTGAGTGGGTGGGTGAGTGAGTGGGTGAGTGGGTGAGTGGGTGAGTGAGTGGGTGAGTGGGTGGGTGAGTGAGTGGGAGGGTGAGTGGGTGAGTGAGTGGGTGAGTGGGTGGGTGAGTGAGTGGGAGGGTGAGTGGGTGAGTGAGTGGGTGAGTAAGTGAGTCGGTGAGTGAGTGAGTGGGTGAGTGAGTGGGTGAATGGGTGGGTGGGTGAGTGAGTGGGTGAGTGAGAGGGTGAGTGAGTGAGTCGGTGAGTGAGTGAGTGGGTGAGTGAGTGGGTGAATGGGTGGGTGGGTGAGTGAGTGGGTGAGTGAGAGGGTGAGTGAGAGGGTGAGTGAGTGGGTGAGTGCGTGGGTGAGTGAGTGTTCCGAATGGGTGGGTGGGTGAGTGGGTGGGTGAGTCGGTGAGTGATTGAGTGGGTGGGTGAGTAGGTGGATTAGTGGGTGAGTGGGTGGATTAGTGGGTGGATTCCTGGGTGAGTGAGTGGGTGGATTAGTGGGTGGGTGAATTAGTGGGTGGGTGAATTAGTGGCTGGGTGAATTGGTGGTTGGGTGAATTAGTGGCTGGGTGAATTGGTGGGTGGGTGAATTAGTGGCTGGGTGAATTGGTGGGTGGGTGAATGAGTGGCTGGGTGAATTAGTGGGTGAACGGGTGGGTAAGTGGGTGGGTGAGTCAGGTAACTTAAACAAAGAGCTTTATAGCTTCTCTGATTCCCTCCCCCCCAACTCCCCCCCCCCCCCCACCAGGGCCCCCTCGTGTCTCTGGATGTCAGCGATGGGGCCCCCCACTTCAAGTTGCTCTCAGGGCTGCTGGACCACTACAGAGTGGCCCCCCTACCTCGCCAGAGCTCGCTCAGACTCACACAGCCCCTAGTAGTGTAGTGTGTAGTGTATAGTGTAGTGTAGTAGTATAGTGTAGTGTGTAGTAGTGTATAGTGTGGTAGTGTATAGTGTAGTGTATAGTGTAGTGGTGTATAGTGTAGTAGTGTATAGTGTAGTGTATAGTGTAGTGTATAGTGTAGTGTATAGTGTAGTGTAGTAGTGTATAGTGTAGTGTAGTAGTGTATAGTGTAGTGTAGTAGTGTATAGTGTAGTGTAGTAGTGTATAGTGTAGTGTAGTAGTGTATAGTGTAGTGTATAGTGTAGTGTAGTGTGTAGTGTATAGTAGTATAGTGTATAGTGTAGTAGTGTATAGTGTAGTAGTGTAGTTTGTAGTGTAGTGTATAGTGTAGTAGTGTATAGTGTAGTGTATAGTGTAGTGTATAGTAGTATAGTGTAGTAGTGTATAGTGTAGTAGTGTATAGTGTATAGAGTAGTAGTGTACAGTGTAGTAGTGTACAGTGTAGTAGTGTACAGTGTAGTAGTGTACAGTGTAGTAGTGTACAGTGTAGCAGTGTACAGTGTAGTAGTGTACAGTGTAGTAGTGCATAGTGTAGTAGTGTATAGTGTAGTAGTGTATAGTATAGTGTAGTAGTGTATAGTGTAGTAGTGTATAGTGTAGTGCAGTAGTGTATAGTGTAGTGCAGTAGTGTATAGTGTAGTGCAGTAGTGTATAGTGTAGTAGTGTATAGTGTAGTAGTGTAGTGTACAGCGTAGTGTACAGTGTAGTGTGCAGTGTAGTGTACAGTGTAGTGTACAGTGTAGTAATGTGTAGTGCAGTGTATAGTGTAGTAGTGTATAGTGTACAGTGTAGTGTACAGTGTAGTGTGCAGTGTAGTGTACAGTGGAGTGTATAGTAGTATATAGTGTAGTAGTGTATAGTGTGTAGTGTATAGTAGTGTATAGTGTAGTAGTGTATAGTGTAGTGTATAGTGTAGTAGTGTATAGTGTAGTAGTGTATAGTGTAGTGTATAATAGTGTGTAGTGTATAGTAGTGTGTAGTGTATAGTAGTGTATAGTGTAGTAGTGTATAGTGTAGTAGTGTATAGTGTAGTGTATAGAAGTGTATAGGGTAGTGTAGTATAGTGTAGTGTATAGTGTAGTAGTGTATAGTGTAGTGTAGTAGTGTATAGTGCAGTAGTGTATAGTGTAGTAGTGTAGGTAGGGTATAAACAACAAACACAACCACAACAACAAACACCACCACAACAAACACAACCACAACAACAAACACCACACCACCACCACAACAAACACCACCACAACAAACACCACCACAACAACAAACACCATAACAACAAACACCACCACAAACACCACAACAACAAACACCACCACACCACAACACCACCACAACAAACACCACAACAAACACCACCACCACAACAACAAACACCACAACGAACACCACCATCACACCACAACACCACCACCACAACAACAAACACCACAACGAACACCACCATCACACCACAACACCACCACAACACCACCACCACCACCACCACAACAACAAACACCACAACGAACACTACCACCACCACCACCACAAACACCACCACAACAACAACCACAACAAACACCACCACCACAACAACAACCACAACAAACACCACCACCACAACAACAACCACAACAAACACCACGACCACAACAAACACCACCACAACAACAACCACAACAAACACCACCACCACAACAAACACCACAACAACAACAAACACCACCACCACAACAACAACAACCACAACAAACGGGAAAACACAATTGTATTATTATTATTAAACGATAGCGGGCGGTTTGTAACGAACAAACAAACCAATAACAAAGACGAATTAAAGCTTCCGTGACTGCATAAATTACTCCGTGGTTTTTTTTTCCCCGGTTAAAGTCACCTTTGTAGGAATACCGCAAAATTACGCTAAAACGAAAATCAATCACGTTTCGACCGCAACACAAGCCGTCATCATCATCATCATCGGGGGTCGAGGAGACAAATCACGGGAGGTCAACTCAACACGGGGATGGAGAGACGAGAATTCGACAAACTTGAGAGAAAGAATGTTTTTAACGTGAAGCACATCCCCAGTCAGGCCAACAACACAGTTATGAGACCTCCTTTGCCAGTAACAAGATATAGGTAATAGGTTTTACCCCTTTTAACTGGCACACAAAAGGGTAAAAACCTCATTACTATATCTTGTTTACTGGCAAAGGAGGTCTCATAATGTAAATGCTCGCTCCGAGCCCTCAATAACTCTGATAGTGCGCTGTTTTATTGAGTTGTACGCCTTTTGGCGTCTTCTGGTCCAACACCAGTGGAGAGACTAAGGGGCTCTAAGAAAAGCTGTCTCTGGTGTGGACCAATCAAATTCAAGGACAGTGCCAATATTAATATCATTATCAGAGTTGTCTCTTTTTGTTTGCATTTTGACTGCTTGTGTTTGTGGTTATTGCAAACACGATGCCTTGAATAAAGGCGTCAGTTTTTGGGGCCAGTTAAAAGGGTAAAAACCTCATTACTATATCTTGTTTACTGGCAAAGGAGGTCTCATAATGTAAATCCTCACCCCGAGCACCTCAATAACTCTGATGGTGCGCTGTTTTATTGAGCTGTACGCCTTTTGGCGTCTTCTGGTCCAACACCAGTGGAGAGACTAAAGGGCTCTAAGAAAAGCCGTCTCTCTGGTGTGGACCAATCAAATTCAAGGACAG